CAGAGGAAAATAAAAATATGTAAGTATGTGTGAGGTTGTGAAGCAGAGTAGTAAGGAATTTTGATGAGGCCCATATGGACTTGTATTTAAAATTCATGTTTTTCAAAATCATATAACATCATGTTACTTTGGAGAAGTCATCAAGCAGTGTCTACAGATCAAAGCAAGTGATGGAAATATACTTCAGGTTATTCTATGTGCTAAAATTGACAAAGGTAAATATATTAATAATTATTTGCATGGAATATTTACTATGTAAATCAATCATTAATAGTTCTTAGGAATAGTGAATGTAGATGACCTGTGCAAGTTCCTACATAGATGTTTTTACATGGGATTCAAATACTCTTAAATCTTTCTGCTGTAAAATAGGTGTTCCATCAAGTTACTTGGGTAAAAATTCTACATTTCTTGTAAACCAGAATTCCTGTAGAAGAGTCCTATTATTTCTTTTCCTAGTTTATTCCTGCCTTAAACCTTTGAAATAGTCTTCCCTTATCATATACCATTACTAGAGTAAGGGCCTTGTATAGTAGTAGTTTATTATAGCTGAAAGAACCAGAGGCTTCATGTACTATGTATTATGAATTCTCTAGAGAGAAAAAAATACATCTGGATTATAGAAAAAAGAACACTAGGGAAAAATTGAATACCTAACAGATTTAAACTCAAATCCCATTCAACCTAAATCAGTTCCCTAAAGACATAGTTTTCTCAGCCTGATATATCTTTTGGGACTTTTGAGAACCAAACACAGAAAACACCTTATGAAAAAAATGCTCAGTAGCTAAAATGCCTGTTATGATATGTTGAGAACATGAATGTAGATCCCTAGATCACATTACAAAACTGAGCATGTGGTGTATCTGTAATCTGAACACTCCATAGGATGAGAGTAGAGACACTTGGTTTCTTTTTTTCCTCATTTTTTTATTTAAATTAGAAACAGTTTAGATTGTTTTACATGTCAATCCTAGTTCACCCTCCCTCACCTCCTCCCCTGCCCCACATTAACACCCTACGTATCCCATACCATTTCTGCTCCCCAGGGAGGGTGAGACCTTCCATGGGCTTTCTTCAGAATCTATCATATCCTTTGGGAGAGGTCCTAGGCCCTCCCCAGTGAGTCTAGGATGAGGGAGTATCCCTCTATGTGGAATGGGCTCCCAAAGTCCATTCCTATACTAGGGATAAGTATAGTATCTGATCTACTACCAGGGGCCCCATAGATTTCTTTTTTTTTCAAATTTTTTCTTGAAGCTCTTCTTTTCTTTGAAATTTCTTTTTATCTATTCTTTGTGTCTTTCACGTCATGCATTTCCATACCATTCATTTTCCTGTCCCCTCCTATCTTCCCACTGCCCTTGCAACCCCCCAAAATGAAATGAAATAAAATAAAATTTAAGAGAAAAAAGAAAAGAAAAATCAACCTCATTATGGAACATGTAGTGGAACACACTGAATCACAAAGTAAACCCTTGCATGTGTTTATTTCAAAGTGTCATTGGTCTGGTTCCAGGCCTCTACAATATCAATGTTTGGCCATCATTTGGACTCCTCTTGGTTATCCTGTTGTTGTCTTGTATCATGGAAATTCTGCAGCTTTGTGTCTGCAGGACCCACCCCTTCACATGTTCTAGCATTGTTGGTATGGGCCAACTCATAACCCTGGATCTGGGCCTGGCTAGTAGATGGGTTGGTCAGCCTTCCATCTCCACTTGAAAATCTTCTTAAGCTCATCTAACAGAATCAGTGAGCTCTAGTCAGTGAAAAATCATGTTTCAAAAACTGAGGTGGAGAGATACTGAAGAAAGCAGTAGATTTTGACCCCTGACCTCAACATACATGTGTGCAAGCACATCTACAATATATCTACATGAAATAAAATATAGTTTAAAGAAACAGAGGAACCAACAATACTAATTTCAGATATAGCAGGTATTTTTTTAAAGTAACAACTAACCATTTAAAATGATTGATTAATGTGATTAGATAATGGGAAAGTGACACAATATAAAAAATACAGAAGATTTAAATACAGATTAAAAAATTAAAAAGAGTTAAAAGATACACTAGAAATGAGAAAGTCCCCAAAACATTATGAAGAATAACTTTCGTTGAATTCTGTGTAATCTGTGAACCTGAAATTAGTGACTAGAAATTTCCCAAATGAAAGACAAGTTAATGACAATACTCCTAAATTATTCCACAAAATATTCACAAGGGGAACATTGTTCAATTCATTTTATGAGGCCAAAATTACCATGATACCCAAACCATATAAAGGCCCAACAAGAAAGTTAATTACAGACCAATTTTCTTTATGAAACACTTGCTTAACAATGTATATTGCTGCTCTATATGTAATAGCTAGAAACTGGAAATTTGATGTCCCTCAACAGATGAATGGACAATGAAAACATAGTACACTGCACAATGGAACATTACTTATCCATTTTAAAAAGTAAAATCATGAAACTCAAAGTTAAATAAAACTAGAAAAGTTATTTTCTGTGAGGTAACTCAAACCTAGAAAGACAATGTGTATATTCGCTTATGTGGCAATTAGCTGTTAAGTCAATGATAATTCATCTATAATGCATATAGTTATAGATATAGAGCAACGGACTTGGGCATATATAACTATAATGCATATAGTTATAGATATAGAGCAACGGACTTGGGCAGGTATACAATAGAAGAAGGCATAGATGTTCCTAGGGAAGGGAATTAGAATAGATAGTTACAACTAGAATGTGGGTAGATTGGAATGGGAGGATTAACTGGGGGAGAGAAAGGGAAGAAGGTGTGACCAGGGAATATGGGGAGAGACAGCTCAAATTAAGGGCAATTTAAAAGATGGTAGGAAAGCCTAATATAGTAGAAACTTCCTGAAACTTCATACATTTATGAAGGTGATCTAAATGAAATTGCCAAATAATGGGGTAGACAGAGTCCCAATTGGATATCTCCTGTCACCAAATGAGGCTTTCAAGACCATGATCGAGTTATATCTAATTCAATTGATGCCCAAAGGGTTTCATGAGAATCTCCAATCATTTTGTTGACAAGACTATAAATTGCTCTCTACAAACTGATAACAAATCACTATTCATGAAGACAACACTCATACTACTCATTGAACATGAGAAATTGAACTGGTGCCTAAAGAAAGCCTCCCCCCTAAGTGTTAGTACCTTTGGTACCAAGAAAGTACTCTGCACACTACCCTTCCACAAACTCTTTGATTTAAAATGGTTACTGGCCTAGAAGATATGCTAGGGAAATGATGGCACAAAATTTGTGGGAGTAACCAACCACCAAAATATATCTGATTTGATTTAAAGCCCACACCATTCAATGGAACCAATACCTGAAACTACTTGAATAACCCAGAATCTGAGATTAGAAAATCTGGGGACCTAGGGTTAAAAAAACACTACTGGTCTAAACAAACAAACAATACTAATTATATGTTATATGTTATATATTCAATTCCTTTTATGTATTATGTAGTTTTTTTTAACCCTAGGAAAGGAGTTTTCTTTTTTCTTTTCTTTTTTTTTTTTTTTGGTTTTTCAAGACAGGGTCTCTCTGTGTATCTTTGGAGCCTATCCTGGCACTCACTCTGGAGACCAGGCTGGCTGTGAACTCACAGAGATCTGCCTGCATCTGCCTCCGGAGTGCTGGGATTAAAGGCATGTGCCACCAACACCCAGCTTAGGAAAAAAGATTTGAGAATACTCTTTTTATATGATACCTGTACAATCCATATGTTTATACAGTAATTTTTTCCAGTACATTTAGATGAGTTCTAAATCTACATGAAAACCTCTTCAGAGATGGGCCCCCTGACAGTTTATTCGAAGCCAAGCCATTAGCCATAAACACACCCACATATTAGCAACAATAATCGTACTCAGCAGACTATATGTATGCGTGTGTGTGTGTGTGTGTGTGTGTGTAAAAACAAAACAAAATTCTGATGTGTGTGTGTGTGTGTGTGTGTGTGTGTGTGTGTGTGTGTGTATGTGTGTGTTTAATTAAAGAGTTAGAGATAATGTATTTGAGGGGATATGGGAGGAGTTGGAGGGGAGAGAGAGGAAGAGAGATGTTTCAAATACAGAACTCATGTATGAAAATCTAAAAAAAAATCATTAAATTTAAATTTAAAACTGCCTAAGCCAAATACTAAAATTAACTATAATTGACATGAGAGGGAGAAGAGAGACTACACAGAGAGAGGGGAGTGAAATTGTTATAAATTGTATCTAAATTGTTCCATTAAAACTAAAGAAGGCAACCTAAATGGACTATGTGTTAAAAGGGATTAAGAAAACATTAAAACAAAAAATAAAATTAGAAGTTGAGGCTACTTAAATTAGGTTAGTAACCACTTTTCATGGAAATTGCCTGAATTGGCCAATTAAAATATAGTAACTGATTCATGAGTCCTAATGGCACTCTAGACGTGAATGCTTTTTGCTTTCACTTAATGATGAACTTGCTCCCATGAAATCATCTACTGACTGAGCAAAATGCAACAAGACTAGCAGCAGCCACAAGAGAAGATTATAAAAATAAAAAACATAAAAGAAAAAAGGGTAAAAATAAATAATAAATATTACTCTCTCAGTCTCCACACTGGTCCAGCTGCCCTTCTTCACCGGCAATCATCTAGCTGAGCAGTGGTGGCTCACTCCTTTAATCTCAGCACCTGGGAGGCAAATAAACACATTATGGGTCACAAAATTCACATTAGCATGTTTAAAGAAATAAAATCTTATAAAATGCATCATTCATAAA